ACAAAAATGCATCGGTTTCCACAAAATCAGCATGTTAGAATGATATCTAAAGGATACTTAAAACTGGAGTAATGGAAGCAAAATATTCAGGAATACATTTTAACTTCAAACCATTAAAACAGAAAAGCTCGTTGTAAATTGTAATAATATTTCATAATATTACTTTTACTGTATTTATGAGCAAATGAATGCAGCTTTGGCATGTATAAAATATTTTCAACAACATAAGTCTTACCGACACAAAATCTTTGAACAGTAGAGTAGAGCTGGGACAGTAAATCGATGCATCACGAATCGAGTAACTGTTCTGCATCGATTCTGAGCTTAGTTTTTAACAGAAGATGGCACTGCATGCTTTAGAAACAGTTGTACTCTGCTTGCTTCCTTATACACACCACTTGAACATAAAATAATCATTCATACAGTTTGAAAAGGTTGAAGCGAATTACAAGGTTGTTCATAATGGGCTGTGTTTACATTAATCTCACATCATAAAAGCATGAAAGCCAAGGTGCAAGTACATTTAACCACTTACACTTACCGAATGCACAAGGGCTCTTTGTGAGCGTTTGAGTGTGTGGTTAAAATCTAGCCTAAAGCGCCATCTGCTGTTAAAAACTAAGCTCAGAATCGATTCCAGAGAGAATCACGATGCACTGATTTATTGTCCCAGCCCTACAGTAGAGTATATAGCAGGGGTGGCGAACGTCGATCCTGGAGAGCCGCAGTCCTGCAGAGTTTTGCTTCAACCCTAATCAAACACACCTGAATAAGCTAATCAAGGTCTGAAGGGTTACTAGAAAGCTACAGGCAGGTGAGTTTTAATTAGGGTTGGAGCTGTACTCTGCAGGGCTGCGGCTCTCCAGGACCGGAGTTCGCCACCGCTGGTATATAGTAACAATGAGAGTCCTGGCCATGGAATTTCGGCATAAAACCTTGTTCTCACCTGTGTTGAAGACGAATGCATCACTCAGTGCATTGTTCCCATTGTAGCCCCCATGGATCAGGAAGCTGCAGTCTGAAAGAACCGCACAGCCATGCCAGCTGCGATACAGTAAGGGTCAGAGGTCAAATACTCAGTACATCTAGGCTGATCAAGATATGCCCAATCATGTACCCATTATAAGACAATTGATTTAATTTCTATTATATATTTAATTTGCAGTAGAGCGCACGATTTAAAGAACAAACTGTTCCTCGGAGTAAATAGACTTTTAAAATACCTTCTGGGAGACGGGGCTGTTCCACTTGTCTTCACAACAGAAAACTCCATCAGGCCTGAAATAGGTGGTGAAAATTTTATTTTAAGCTGACTACTCCACTTTTTAAAAGAGCACCTTCAGTAATTAATGTGTGAAAACACTAGGAGTCATACCAGGTATTAAATATGCAGAAAAATCAGGACAGATCTATTGAATTATAACGGTTTCAAACAAAGAAAAAGTGTTGAATCTAGTAGACTCAAGCAATAGTAATAAAATGACTTTTATTAGTGGTGAACTATGTTATTGCTTATTTTCCCCAATAAGAAACCACCTGAATTAAAAATCAAATAAATCTTGAAAGAGTAACAATTCTTGCAGTATTTACCAAGGTCTAGCATGAACATGTCATTGAAGCATACAGGGGTGTCCCATCCTCCAAACACAAAGATCCTGCCCTGCATCACACATGCTGAGTGCTTGCACAAACAAATCAAAACGAAAATACTCATCTGCCACATGTACAGTACAGCTGAAAACATCAGTCATGCAGTTAATGAAATATTACATCATGCAACTTTGAATAAAAAGACATGAGCTCCCTACCCAGAGCGTGGCGCAGGCTTCTCTCCATTGACAATAGGTTGATACCAGATGGCCATTTCAGGGTTAAAGATGTAGATGGAGTCACTGCAGCCATCTGGTTCTGGGTGTGGGCGAGGAAACACTCCTCCAAACACAAAGAGCTCTCCTCGGAACATACTGCAGCTGTGGTAGGCCAGGGGAGGCACTTTTCCCTGCGCCTAAAGGGGTAAATGAAATTAAAATCAGCTTTATAATATTTTCAGAACCTACTGGATAAAACAATTAGACTTGGATTTATTATGGACTACAACCAGATGATATCTATGACACAAAAATAAATTGTATGTGCCTAGACATGTGTTACAGTGATACTGTATAGTTCTGTGAATGTTTTGAAGGGTTTTGTTGTTAATCTTAGAATCAATTGCAGACTAACCTCAACCAAAGTCCAACGCCAGGTTTGTGTGTCTAAGATGTGAACATCATTAAACCATTTCTTATGCTTTGAGCCACCAAACACAAAGATACGCTTAGATTCCGGGTCATAGGTCGCTGTGTGACCAATGCGGGCCTCAGGGGTGGGTCCTTCTGCAAGGGTTTCAGCAGGTACCCAAGAAAGATCCTCTGAAAAAATATTAAGAGCAGAGCTGCATCTACCAAGTAAAAACATATTTAATAATATATTACAATCTACTGACATGAGACAATGTGAAATGCTTACCTGTGCACAGTTTCCAAATGGGGTCTTTGCAGAACTGCATTCTGGCACCTTGTCCTCCAATCAAAATTGCTGTCTGAGGATCAATGGGACAGAGAGTTTGACCCCAACGACCTGACGGCTTGTCCAGTGGAGCTGAAAAGACAGTGTTAAACATACAATAACTACCATTCCACATTACTCATATGTTCCACATGTACGCAATGAAAATATTCACTCACCAGTTTGTGAGGGGGTTTTGGCCTGCTTGCCTTTAGCTTTGTGGCTCTGAGAACTGGAAGTTGCAGTCTGTTCCTCCTTTTGTGAGAAGAGACGTGTCTGACCTCCATGATGATTGTTCTTGCTCCGTCTTTGAGGTGTCACCTTTTCAGAGGCGTTAGGGCAGATGTTCTCCTTGCCTCTACCTTCATTAACTTCCTCCTCTCCCTGAGATCGCTTCCTCTTGCCTGGACACTCTCTTAATGCAGGTACTGCAGGAATGCACTGGAAACAATGAAGTGAGAAGACACTGAAGACAAAAGCTGAAGCAGCAGCAGCTTGTCGGAGAAGCATCAGCCGTGATGGCAGCAAGTACATATCAAAGAACAGACCATTTATTTAAAACAACAACAAAAAAAAGAGACGACAACAGAACAGGAGAAGATGGCATTCTTTCAATCTCCGCAAGGACTTGTACCATGGCAGAACAACATTGTGTGTCGCGGACAACAAAGTGATGAGTAATGCTACGTTTTATAATAAATAAGACACTTGTTCTTTGCTTTGTTTTATTTTAAATAAGAAGGTATAACATTAAAATATATTGAAGTTAAAAAAACACACACAAAACTCAAATACAAATGGAGGGAGGGGTACTAGCAGACCAATCACAGCCCTTGCGGTCCGCGTAGAATTGACGCGCTGTGACATTTTTGGAGAGGTGCACGTCAGGCTACGCCACAGCCTTGACGCAGAAGTATAAATCAGCCTTTACTCAGGCAGGTTAAACTCACCTCTGGAGTGCATTCCATCTGTGAAAGAGCCACCCCCGGATCCAAAAACTCTGTAGTACCCTTTGGAAAACAGGATCATGGGTCAATTACTGTATGCACAGATCCAAAGACTTCACACAAAATGCATTATACATCTTATTTCTTATATATTATGGATAATTTGATTACGCTTTCAGCAAAGACTGTAACATCTTTGGAAATTTTCACGATGATATGGAAGCAGTGACAGATCTTCAATTTTGTGACTTACATCCAAGTGAAATGGATGATTGACAAGGACTTGGTTCCATCTATTGAACGTTTATTGACTGATTGGCAATTCTGAATGTAAGCATGAGGTCGATTGCAAGAAAGGGAAAGGATTTAAGCAGGCTATATGACTGAAGAAGACTGGCATACATCACTAGAAAGAAATGTAGCGTGTTTACCAGAAGTTTGAGTTATGATGACGTTGATGAATCGTTCACAAATAAGTCAACAACATGCTTTATGCTCTTAAAAATGGATGAATTTCCATTTCATACTGACTTTAAAAATCAGCACAGAAAATATCATAACTCTCCAGATTTCATTTGGGATTTGTGTAACACAAAATGAAACTGAGCTTGAACAGTCTCTCACCCCAATGAGTTTTACAGTTAAGGTTGCTCCACTGGACCAGACACCATCCTCACCAGATTCCCATGACAGACATCTGAGAAGAGGAAAGGTTTAGTAAAGGATTAAAGGTTAGGCTACTATTAAATCGTACTGGACTGATTTAACGTAAATAACAAACGCACTTATTGAATGGTGTTAGTTTTCCCATATTAATGGGTATGTTCCTCTCATCAGCCAGTTCCACAGAGACTGAATCCCGCTTTCCCCAGTCTCCTCTGGCGAAGAGAACCATCAGCTGGACACTAGGTTGGATCTCAATTGAGCTCTGCCATCCTTCACGCCTGTTGTGGGAAATAAATGATGACGAACACAATCCCCTCATATAAAGAACATAGGTTTAACATAGTTAGCGACACAAGTAGCTGCAGTACTGTTGATACTGTGCACATCTTCGCAACGTTAGTTGCGCAAGAACTTTACGAGGCGGGAGACAGCAAGTCCGTATTGCATCTAGACTGCTTAAAAATATTCAAACGTATGAAGCTATCTAAATATATTTCATGCTCGAAACTACTTGAATCACTGTAAGCGTGCACAGCTTAATTTGCATTAAAATAACATTAAATAGACAGCCAAATGCATCCAATGCATTTCCAATCATGTTTGTTTATCTCAAGTGAATTTTACCTTAAGATCTGCTGTGGTGGTTCATCTACTCCAAATATGGCATAAACACCAAAGTCAGCCATTGTAACGCTTTTAAGTTGACACTCTCCAAAAGAACAAAAGCAAGAAAAGTAATTTAATTAAACTCCGATAGATCGAGCTCTATCTCCCGCCGACCTAAAGCACAATAAATATAAAACTCGCGCCACCGCCACGACGTTTCATTCTCGAAGCGCAATGATTGGACAAGTGGGCGGGAACACAATGCTATTGACCAATCCTATAGAAGACGCGAACTGTTCTCCTGTTGTTGCAATGTTGATCGACAAGTGAAGTCAGCCAATGGATGAATGACTACATTACAGGCGGGATGCGTGATTGTCATGGAGGAGGGACATCCTTCTGATCGTCGTGTTTGGTAATCTATGTAAAGAAAATAATTTCACATCATAAATCACAAAGTGAGATCACAAACATGGTAAAATGATACAAGGAGAAAATGCACATATTATATAATTTTGTAGTAAGCTTAAATCTGCTATCTAGTAAGCTCTGCAAATCAATACACTGTCCGCTGGTGACACCTGCTGGTCAAATGCATGTAAATGCATGGATAGATCCTAACTGTGTTATTATTTGCATATTGCAAAACAGTTTTACATAAATTAGTTCCTTAACTTTCCATATATAAAACTTTCCGAGGTTCTATATATAAAAAGGCTTTGCTATGGGTATATTTTAATTATTATGATTAAATACTATTCAGTTGTGTTGATCCATTAACTTTTGTGACCAACTTTTTTTTATTTTGAAGGTTATTGATTTCATGTGAACATTTTTACATTTTGTTGGTGTGTATTTTTTATTTATTTTATTATTGTTGTTATTGTTTAACATTGCTGTAAATAATGTAAATGTTTTTTATTCGCTATTCATTAATTTACTCGCTATCGCCGTCACGTTAACTCAGGCAGGCTCCGCCCATCATTAGCTCAACGAGCTTCAACATTACAGGTGAAGAAGGGTTGCTGACCAATTATTCGACGCTTTGTGAAACGCTGTGTAAGCATTAATATGTCTCACCTTTTTTGACAGTATTTTTCAGTTTTGCCACACGACAAGTAATTTGATTTAGTGCAGTTAAAGCTAAAAGAGTGTCAGTTTGTTATTCCATCACCTACACTATAGCTCATTATTTCGTGTATATTTTTATATAAATGTAAAGAAGGCAAATGTGAACGTTTGTTATTAGTATTTCGTTATCAGTCACACTGGCAAATTAACATTAGGCCCTATACTATAACTGAGATACACCTGTCACATTTCAGGTTCATAAAGTACAATAATTTTTAAAGTATTTTTAAAGTATGTTATTTTACTGTATTCTACAATTCTGTATATTTTAAAATATTTCAGCAGAATCATGGTATCAATGCAGAGGGGAAGCGGCTTCCACGAATGGCTGCCACTCTAATGATGCACTTTACCGCTGAGAGAGAGCCCACCTTTGGCATCCACAGAGCCAGTTTCAGGCCTGTCACCCCTAGCAAGGAGTTTGAAGATTCTCCATCTACCGGAGAAGAGAGTCAATCCACCATCCCAGAGTTGCGCCACTTTGTTGATACTGAGAAATCCTCTTCTGTGAAGCAACATACCCTAGAAGACCAGTCATTGGAGTCTCCACCCCAAGTGGAGGACCTGGGGTCTGACCCAGAATCCCCTTCTGCATGGAGTCTGAGTAGTGTTACAGGAGGTGAAACCACCCTAGAAATACTGGAGGACAAAGCAGATGGCTCTCTTCGGAGGGACCAGAGAACTGGAGGTTTGACTGGAGTTTCTAGTAAAAAAAAAATTAAATGTTTGGTTGCAGACGTTTCTTCATTACCAGTGTTGTCTTAAACTCTTGCTCCTTCAGTGAAGTTCACAGACTGGCACAAATGTCGCATAACAGCTCGGTGTACTGAGCGTTTTGACAAGCTGCTCAGAGAATGCCCTGATTACCACAACACTAAGAGCTGCTTTTGTACTGGAGAGAGGTGTGTGAGAGGTAACATTTCTCATTTTCAGTCAGTTTAACTCGATGTACTGAAAACACTACACTGACACAGTAACTATTAACATAACTAATAGACAGTAACTAATAAAAATGACAATAAACACCAAAATTAGTAAATCTTGGAAACTATACTAAAAATGGAAACTATAAAAATAAGAACCATTTCAAAAGAATAATAAAAAAAATAGTATCTCCATCATACTAAATAACATTGGTGTGAGATACAATGCTAACCAAAGAAGACCACATTCTGTGCATGGTTAAGGATTGAAGCAGGAAGATTTCTCTGTTGGGCCAATAGGTCAGATTTGTACTTGCCCTTTTTATTAATTAACATTTATTTGAAAATGTTTTTTTTAATATATATATAAATCATATAATTATTTTAAAAACGGTTATTTTACGTTTTCTCTCATATCATCACATCACGTCATTTGTCATAAAAAGTTACATTTCCTTTACAAAGAAAATTTACAGTAATAGCTGGAAATTATACCATTATCTTATTTAAACGGGAAACACTGACAGCCAATAAAGTGTGTGAAAAATATAATGAAATTTTATATGTATTGGATGTGTGTGTCAGAGTTTCTTGACACAGGTGGGCAGCGCTGTGAGGAATATGAAGTGGTAGCTCTGGGATCAAGTCAGAACTGCTGCAGTGGTTGGCTTTCTTACACAGGATCTGTCATCCATGACTGCTACGCCATTGTCATCGCCCGCAGAGCCCTCAAAAGGTGCAAGAAACTTTCATATAGACATATTTTTGTACTCAAGATTATAGAGCAGGGGTGGCGAACTCCAGTCCTGGAGAGCCGCAGTCCTGCAGAGCTCAGCTCCAACCCTAATTAAAACTCACCTGCCTGTAGCTTCCTAGTAACCCTTCAGGCCTTGATTATCTTGTTCAGGTGTGTTTGATTAGGGTTGAAGCAAAACTCTGCAGGACTGCGGCTCTCCAGGACCGGCGTTCGCCACCCCTGGTATAGAGGAAGAAAGACAGAGATTTTATTTAAATAGCTTTATATGAATGCTGTTTTTAGTGTGTCCAATATATATTTAGACATGGTTGATTTCTGTTTCTAGGCTATTTGCAAGTTAAACTACTATTGTAAATGTGGAAAAAAAAAAAAGTCTGTTGTCCTGTCTGGTGTCACAGGTACTTGTACAAGCAGCTCCTGCTGTTCTACAGTGCTGATCCAGAGCTTAAAAAGCGCTCCATACTGGAAAATGTTCCATCTGAACGACTGCTTCAGCTCAAGCCACACATTTACCTTCACTTGTACACTAACAGAGCCCTCAAAGGAGCAGCTCAGTGCATAGTTTTGTAAGTTTAACTACTTTGTTTACACTATGTTGTCTGCTCTCCACTGTGTATATTAGAAAACTCTCTATTGTGTATATTAAGAGTATTTGAACATGGTGAAAAGAGATGTCCGTGTTTGTTTTTCCACAGGCAGTTTCAGAGCTGTGCTTACTCCACTCTGAAGCTGCAGTGCCATGCTAAAGGCTCTCTCATCCCTGCTGCCTTCCTGCTTCCAAGCGCGTGGGGTGCTGGCATCTGTTGCATGTCTGGCAGTGACAAACTCACCCGTTGGATTGTCACAGGAGTGCAGGGGGTGCTACTGAGTCATTTCATCAACCCAGTCTACATTACCAGCATTGTACTTGGTAAGCCGTTCGCTTTGGTAGGTGACAGAATGCTCCCAATGTCTCCAAATATCGTAATTGGATATTGATTGATAAGTCATTTTGAAATCCAAGCAAGCAGGCAGAAGAATGACAGTATTTATTAAAAGGGTCATAGGATGCTACATGCACTTTTACAAGTTGTTCGATCTGAAATGTGTGTTGGCAGTGTGTGTACACAACCATCCTATAATGATAAAAATCTACCCAGTGTTTTTTTTTTAATCCCGTTAAATGTTTTCCTCTCTCAAATCGAGCCGATATCAGATGCCCGTCTGTGTGACCTCACACAGACAGGCCCCTCCCACGATAGTTTGATTGACAGTAGCGTTTCAGCACAGACTGGACTGGTGTCTTACCTTAGACCTGCCCTGAGTGAGCTGTCATCAGTCCGCCATTGTTTCACTGCTGAAGCAGATGTAGACAAGAATGACTCCTAAGCGATTGAGGTGTTCTGTTGGATGTAATAATGAAAACAGTTGTAATTTACTCCCGACATCTGAGCCGCTGAAGATGCAGTGGATTACATTTGTTTCTGAAGGGAATGTGCCCCCGATCTACATAAATGAGTCTGTTCGCACGAATTATTCATGATCCAGCCTTATCTACAGAAGAAGTGAGTATAATGTTTTGTAATGAATCTTTGCAAATCACCTTTCCTAATAATGTGCTAATTAGCAAGTTTCACGATGAATGCGGCTAAAGTAAACGGTCTCTCTGAGAGCAGCTCGGAAGAGGGGCGGGGTCAGCAGAGCTCATTAACATTTAAAGGAAAATGCTACAAAACGGCTTGATCTGAAAAGAGACAGGGTAAAAAAGGTGTTTTTACACTACCATTGAGAAATTTTAACCAAACTATGTTACAGACTTTTCATTAAGACCCTAAAGAATCATATCAACTTGTGGAAAATGGGCATCCGATGACCCCTTCAACCTGTTTTGCTTCAGCAGCCAAACGAACAGATTCAGTGATATATATATTTATAATATGACCAACTCCAATACCTTCTTATCAACAATTACCGTAATGGTGAGTGACCTAACTAATATTCGTGAGCATGGTTGATCTATAACAGGGGTGGGCAAACTTGGTCCTTCCAGGCCACTTTCCTTCAGAGGTTAGCTCCAACCCTAATCAAACACACACTAGAATGGCTTGCTGAAAACAGAGCTGATTTTGACAGGGTAAAAAATGTTTTTTACACTACCATTGAGAAATTAACCAAACTATGTTACAGCCTTTTCATTAAGACCCTAAAGAATCATATCAACTTGTGGAAAATGGGCATTCTATGACCCCTTTAAAGTCCCCCTGCAGTCAAAAATGTTATCCCTTAAAACTCATCTTTGATCATCCAAATTACATATTTAAGTGTTTTCTTGTGAAAATAATTTTCTCATGCCTTAAAAAAAAGCTTGAATGTAACTCTACACCCTTGCCTGTTACTATACACGATCTATGAATATGCAAATGAGCCTCGCCTCCACTCAGTCACACCAGCCAGGGCCTCCTGATCCACGGATAATGACTGATAATACTATGTTTTTACTAGCGGACAGCTACAGTGGATACTGTAACAGTCGTTAAAGTTACTTGATGTGTCCTCAAAATGCCTTGAAGACTCGAATGCAGCCAAGTTTGTGATTCTTAGTTCGCGCCCGGGAGCAATGCGTGTGAAGTGTGGATGCCCATGCGGGAGGTGGGTCTGACTCCAGCTATTTTACACTGTTGCTGTGGATTATTATTCAAGTTAGCGGTTCTAAATTCACATTAAACCACAGCTTCATGGGGTTTTTGCTCAATTTTATTTTTGGTTTTGTGCTTGTAATCCTATTGGTATATTTTGCATGCGATCTTTATGCTATGATCTATATGCGCGTCACGTTTGTATAAATGGAGAAAGGAATATGCTAATGATAGGAATCTATCCCTTGACGTGATTGGTTATTGAATTTTGTAACGTAGCAAACCGATGGCTGTTTCAAACCGCGTTTCTGGGACTGCCTTTGGGAGACTACAGTTTTAAGGAGAAAATACTCAACAATGGTGTTGATTAATGGATTGGCACATGGTTTGTCTAAAAGCAAATTAAAAACACCACAGACAAATAAACAACAAACTTGATTTTCACTACAGGGGGACTTTAACATTTTCTCTACTTGTTGCCTAGGCGATTCCAAGTACTGCTCAGAGAAAGTGTCTGAAATCATTAGCAAGCGTCTGGTCACGGGCTGGAATGATGCACTGCTTCCTCCATTCAAACAAACCACCATCTTTTTCCTGAGTGGAGAGCACGTGGGGCCTTATGAGAACACAGACCACTGCAAAGACCTCAGCGTCAACTGGTGTTTGGGAGACTCCAGTATTGAGATTCTGGACAGCACCACTGGTTATGCAATCAACAAGTCAGTCGTACTAAATAAACTAGCTAATGACAGTCTTCTCTTATGCAAAGGTTTAATGCAATACGTGCATTGTATTTGAGGAGCTCATTTGTAACCAAGCCACTTCGAGACAGTCTCCTGATGCTGAATCTAGTTTAATATTTTGCAGATATTTATACTTCTAATCGATGCCCTTAATCAGTATACAGTCATGGCCAAAGGTTTTGGCAGGGACATAAATTTTGTGTTTTGCAAAGTTTGCTGCTTAAGCTGTTGTGGTGTACATTCGCTTGTTTCTAGATTGTGTAGAGTGATCAGATGCATTTTAAATAATTGCTAAAAGCTTCATTGGCCAAAAAACGAACTTTTCACAAAAGAAAACAAATTTCACTTTTTTTTTTATCCTGACAAAATGACCAGCTAACATTAAGGGCCTGTTTACACCTGGTCACTTCATGCGTTTTTTCTGATCGAATAGCTATCCGATCGTGAAAAGACCAGGGGCAAGTTTAAGCTCAAACCGGTGTGCACCGTTTTGCTACGGTTTCCGGTTTGAACGACATGTTTCCTGGAAACGGTGTGCAACGGGGTTTGAGATGCGTTTTCTCTTGTTTGGCGGGTGTGTCAAACATGTCAGCCCAATCAGCAGCAACGTGTATGTAAACCACGCGGTATTAAAGAGACAGCTCGCACAATGTAATTAACATCCAAATAAATTCACAAGAGCAAGTATATTGTTTGCACATGTTTATTTACATTAAAGGCAAAATAACTGAAATAATAAGGGCACAAGTATAGATCTGGAACTTCTTTTAAGTCTGTCTAAATATCATTTAGTAATTGCAATGTCTTCTGGTCCATATCCTTTCCTTAGGAAGGTGTGCTAAATACTGATTAATGTAACAAAAATACTATACATATTTAAATATTTTGCTACTGTATTAGGCCTATGGAGTGACACTTTAATGAACTTTTCTATAACTATCCCTCTGATTATATAATGGTAAATATTACAATATCATAGCACAACAAAAGCGATCAGCAATAATGATAGGCCTAATACTCACAATAAAAATAATAAGGTCATATAGATCATAACACAGTCTCGGAGGTAAGAAGTGGATTATCGTCCAGACGAAACTGGACAAGTGTAAATGCATCTGGTTGTTGAAAGCGCATATGTAAATTTTACTCCTCCCAAAATGTTAAAATAATAAACGTGTGAGCGTGTTGTAAGCTATATGACATTAGTCAGACTGCGCTAATGCAACACGCATCGCTGCGGACGAGCGGAGTCTCTTCAACAAGCCGACGCGCAAACTGCCGCGAATGAAACTGAAAG